TGAGATTGGCACAGGATAGAGCAGGGTTTAGGGCTGTTGTACATAGGGTTGCTATGAGTCGCAAACGACTCGACGGCACATAACAACAACAACATACATTAAATTGATCACATGAGCTCAGATACACTAGTGGTAAAAAGCTATGCTGCAATCCCAAGGGCCCATGGTTCAAATCTACCAGCTGTTCTACAGGAGGGGGATGAGCAATCTCAGAACTTTAGAGTGTAATAATTGCCTCTAAAAACTCTCTGGAGGATCAGCTATGAGTCAATTCTGACTTGATGGCACACAAGAAGAATAATTATCAAATGCAAGATAAAATTATTCATGTTGAGATCAGTAGTAAGGATTCAGACCACTAAAGCTGTTAAGGTGATTTGTACATGTTAACATTTGAATCTTTACAGGTGGAAATAATTCAGTTAATTGTTGCATTTGACTTTCAAATTTGTTAACAAGAAAAATTCTAAACCATTTAAAATAATTTGCTTAGGATTTGGGCTCCAGTGGAAAAATACATATTGGAAACTCATTTATCCTTTTATTTGCAACTCTTCTCCATCCCTGGATAAACAGCCTAAGATCTATCTAACTCGTTGGTACTGAGAAAGAGGCTCTTTCTGTATTATCCTAATTAGAGCATTAATTAATAGGATTAGTAATTTTTCCTTTCCTCTGTATTCTCCCATTCTTAAAAACCAAACAGAAAACCCTTGGTGCAGATGATACCATGTTGGCAAAGGATCCTGCATCCGGCATCTGTACTCTTCTGTATGACAGTGCCCCCAGTGGCAGGTTTGGCACCATGACCTACCTCTCCAAAGCAGCCGCCACCTACATACAGGAGTTCCTGCCCTGCAGCATCTGTGCAATGCAATGAGAGCCTTGGGTCCTCTGGGAGTCTTTTGGCATTTGTCCTCTGCCTTATGCATGGTACGGAAATGTTATTACCTGATTACTTTCATCCTAAACCTTCCTATCCCATCACTCTCAATTAAAAAATATCTATTCCAATGAATAAATGAAATTCAATTATTATTGTTGACTTGTATCTAACAACAAAAAACAAATAAACCAAAAAATGAATGGTTTTAGAAGAAATGGATCTTCTTCTGGAGGCTCATTTCTAGTGTGCATATACTCAACCAGATATTTCATTGTAGACTTTAATTCTTTCATGGATCATAGAAATGTTTGTGTGTTTTACTCTATAGATATGTTACCAACCTAGTTTTCTAATATTAACTGATTCCTAAAGTTTCTTTTTCCACTGTAAATTGGAAATATCTACCCTCAGTGGCCTTTTTTTGTACATTAGATTACTGGATCATGGTTTCTTTTAGTAACCTGTTACCTCACACTGAGTAATGAAATAATTTCTGTGTAAAATTAATATCTCTGCTTTTTCCTTCTTTGTGTCTATGAAAATTCCTACTTTCACTTGAGTTAAATATTAAAAAATAAGATACAATGTGTTTAATGACTTCTTATTGACATAAAATTACACTTTATGAAGATTGTTAACATATTTATAGATAAAAATACAGAATAAAAAAAATGGAGCCTGGAACCTCGTTTCAGAGAAGAAAGGCTAAGGAAAATATTTGCTTACATAATGTATTACACATAGGGATCAGAGAGGGAATCAAAGATAGATTAATTACCTGAAGAAAGGAAGAAAACCTTTTGCAGCTACTTACCCTTTGACTCTGAAGAATGGGTCAACACAGAAACAATTTAAAATAATAGAAGTTTTTTGTTTTGACAAAGAAAAATATAAGTCTAGTTTTATCTACTTACTGAGTATTTTCTTGGTTCATCTGGTCTCTCATGCACCTACTTAAATTTCTACATACAGCATCCAGCCTCTCCAACTCTTTGCCTTTCCTATCTATTCACGAATTCTTTCACTTAAATTTGTCACTTCTTAATTCTAGTGTTTATATTTCTCTCTCTATTGGTGTCTGTGGGCATACATTTGTTTCCTGTAAACTGCAAGTGTTTGTGTGCATGCCTAAGTATTCATGACACATTTGTGCATCTAAGTACACATGGGAATTTTAATGAATATAAGTAGTTTTGATTTGTGTGTGTATACATTTAACCCAATAAATAAGTATGCAAATGTAAATGTAACATGAGGAAGCAGCAATGTGATTGTGGTCTCTGACTCTCAGACAATGGGTAGTGATGAAATACTGTAAATCCTGTTTACTGGTCTCAGTAGATAACACTACTTGAATAATGTTTCTCCTAATTTTTCTTCTCTTTATTTGAGAGTAAAAACTGCTTATTTCTCTATTGTGCTTGGACAAGTTCTTACCTCCATTCTCCGCTTCCTTGAAAATTTTACTGGTTTTTTTTTTCAAGAACAGGAGTGGGAAGAGTGAAGATATGGAACTCTCTAAGTAGTCCATACAATATGAATGACAATATTATGAATGTTGTTGTTCTTGTTATTATGTGCCATCGAGTAGATTATGACTCCAATTGCTGCAGTCACCATGTCAATCTTCCTCTCTTTCGTTGACCTCTACCTTTCCAAATATAACATCCCTTTCCATGGAATAGGATCTCTTAGCAATATGTCAAAATTATGAGAGATGAAGCTTTTCATCCAAGGAACACTCTGTTTGCACCTTTGCAAAACATATTTGTTCTATTGGCAATCCGTGGAGTAGTCAGCGTTCTTCTCCAACATATGCCTGGTTATAAAACTTTGGTTATTTTTCTCACATTATGTCAATGTACTCATTATTTCTGCATTTTTAAACTTCCATTTACTTAATATCCCTGCTCTCTACATCATGCATGTTTTAAAATAACTGTTGGTGCTGTGGTTATCTATATTGCTGTGTATATTTTCAACATAAATAAAATGAGAAAAAAGTTTCCCACTTAAGATGATATATTCTTTTTTTATTGTTCTCAAGCCAGAACCAACTCATAGCTGTCCGTTTAGTGGGACTGTAAATAGCACATGAAGAGATTACTCATCTTTTCCCCATAGGGATGCTGGTAAGTTCAAATCAAAAGAGACACAGCATTTGGTTTAGCTGTGCAACTCTATGGACTATATGGTCACCCTATATTTAGCAGAAGTATGTTTTATTGTTGCAAAACTCACAGACCTGTTCTCAAATTGTTGTTGTTTTTATGTGCCATCGAGCCACTTGTGACTCATTGTGAACCTATGTACAACATCCCTGAAACCTGCTCTATCTCGTGCCAACTTTACTCTCAGACAAACCTACCTTCATTACCCCAGCCACTGTATCAATCCATCTCATTGATGGTCTTCCTCTCTTTCTTCAACCTTCCAAACATGATGTCCCTCTCCAAGGACTGGTCCCGCCTTGCAACATGCCCAAAGTATGTCACACGAAACCTCAGAATCCTTGCCTCCAAGGAGCAGCCTGACTTCACCCTCTCTAGGTCTAACCTGTTTGTTCTCCTGGCAATCTCAAAAATTATCAAAATTCAATGCTGTTGAATTGGAACAGACTCATAGCTAAGACTCTAGTGAGTCTTCAGAGGCTGTAAATCACATGGAAGAAGACTGCTCATCTTTCTTTTGTGAAGCAGCTAGTAGACTTGAACCACGAGAGAGATGTGGACTTTGGTAGGCAGTACAACTCCCTACAAACTGGACCACCACAAATCTCATTAATCTCATGGTAAGGAAAGAGATCAGGCACAATAAAATATATAATTATACGACTCCTTTTGTGAAAATATTAGGAACAGGCTAATGTAATCTGTAGTGATTTAAATTAGAAACAAGTCCATCATAACTGGCAATTTTCTGGGGCAAACATTTATATTCTGCCATGGTTGCATCTTCTTGCCACGTTGTATGCCATATTGCAATGCTGTCCCACTTCCCAAGCATTGTCTATGAGTTGAAATGTGTATCTCTTGCAAAATCTGAAAGAACAATCCTAGAACAATCCACTTTCATGCTTACATAGTTTAGATTTCAGGGTGTTTCTTGACTATTATGTATACTGCCCTCTTCCTTCCACTACCTATATATTTTCTGTGTATTATGGTCTCCCCACTTATTCACCTGTTACAGGATGAGTCATTCCCCTCTGTACTGTTCTTCACCAAACAAAACCCCTAAACCAAAAACATTCCTGGCCTCTGATATCCTTTCAAGCTAATGTATAAGTTTGTCCCTCATTTCACAGTAAAATTTATTCCAGGAAGAAACAGTACTTAATTCTGTTGGGGTTTTTTCCCCTCCAGTCTAACTTCCTCCCTTATTTCCTGTTTTTGTTTCACTGGTTGTATTTTGTGGGTTTTGGTTTTTGTTTTGTTTAAATAAGGCACCTGTGCACTTAACATGGTCAAAGATATCTTTGGTCATTTTAGAACACATAATATTGTCCCTATCTCTTTCTTGAAACTTCTCTAGCTTTGATTTCTGAGGCACTGTATGACATTTGTCTTTCCTCAACCAGAAGAATGTCTATCTGTGTTTCATTGATTATGCAAAGGCATTTGCCTGCGTGGATCATAACAAACTGTGGCTGACTCTGAGAAGAATGGGAATCCCAGAACATTTAATTGTGCTAATGCGAAACCTATACTTGGACCAAGAGGCAGTAGTCAGAACAGAGCAGGGAAACACTGCATGGTTCAAAATTGGGAAGGGTGTACGCCAGGGATGTGTCCTGTCTCCATACCTTCTCAACCTGTATGCAGAGCAGATTATCCGAGAGGCTGGGCTCTATGAGGAGAAGTGTGGCATTAGGATTGGTGGACGATCTATCAACAATCTGCGTTATGCAGATGACACAACCCTGCTCGCTGAAACTGAGGAGGACCTCATGCACTTACTGCAGAGGGTCAAGGACTGCAGCCTTCAATATGGACTGAGGCTCAATGTCCAGAAGACAAAAATTCTCACCACTGGAATAATTGGTAGCATCAGGATGAATGGTGAAGAGATTGAGATTGTTCACAGCTTCAGTTTGCTTGGCTCCACGGTCAACACTCTTGGCACCAGTAGCCAGGAAATAAAAAAACTTATTGCGATGGGAAAGTCTGATGTTAGGGACCTCTCTAAAGTACTCAAGAGCAACGGTGTCTCTCTGGAGACTTATGTGTGCCTGATATAGGCCATGGTTTTTGCAATCACTTGTTATACATCAGAGAGTTGGACAATGACTAGGGAGGATAGAAGGAGAATTGACGCCTTTGAGCTGTGGTGCTGGAGAAGAGTATTGAATGTACCATGGACTGTCAAGAAAACAAATAGATTCATCCTAGAGAGGGTTAAACCAGGCTGCTCCTTGGAGGCAAGGATTCTGGGGCTTCGCCTGACATATTTTGGACATGTTGTAAGGAGGGACAGGTCTTTGGAGAGGGACATCATGCTGGGCAGAGTGGAGGGACGGCACAGGAGGGGAAGACCCTCTATGAGGTGGATTGATTCAGTGACTGGGGTAATTGGGATGGGTGTGTCGGAGGCAATGAGATTGGCACAGGATAGAGCAGGGTTTAGGGCTGTTGTACATAGGGTCGCTATGAGTCGCAAACGACTCGACGGCACATAACAACAACATTGCCTATAAAGAAGTATTTCTAAAAATTACACCCTTTTCTAGTGCAAGGATTCTCACCATGATGTGGGACAGTTTTTTAGTGAGATGAACTAAGCTAGTTTTGGCTGTTGGAAAGATAATGAACTATGGGGCAGCAAGAATGGAAATAAAAATACTCTGAATTTGTAGAAAGTTCAGGTGAAAGATAATAGTAGTTGGCCGTGGGCACTGGCAATACAAAAAAGTAGAAGACTATGTATTCAGGAGATGTAGTATTGATGAAAGTAATTAATGGTTATACATATTATATAATACTATTTCAATTAAAAAAAACAGTGATTCAACAGTGTGGAAATTATTGAACAACAGCATGTTGCAAGAAAGAACCAGTCCTTGCATATGGATATTATGCTTGGGAGGGTGGAGGGACAGGACAAATGAGGAAGACCGTCGATGAGAT